AAGTTTATTTCTCTCTGACTTACGTCTTTAAACATTAAAAGAATTCGGAACAATATAATAAATACCGCTTCACACTGTTTATCTCCGAATACGCGTTATAATGGCCCAATATTTCTCAACCATGTTCGTACAACATAAACGTGATGTTCAAGATATCTTTATACATATTTAAATAATGTTTTGTCATACATTTTGGGCTTAGACAACAAACGGAATATTTATGTTTGAAACGACAAACTTTTTGGATTAAAAAACATAGGTACGAACTTTAAAACACTTGTTACTGATTCGGGTTCCAAGTACGAATCTGGTGCGGAAGTCACAACTGTTGGATGTACCCTGCGAACATACCAACCTCACGAAGCGCCGCCCACGGGAGCTATACATGTAATTAATAAGGTTTCTATGGAGGTTATACTGGCTGAGTTCACAAAATGCTTGTAGTTCTTGTTTCAAAAGTATATTGGTCACGTGTAATAATGTTTTAACTATTTTTTTATAAAGCAGATTCAGAAAAATTGGAAATACTAAAATATTTTACATAAAATAATGCATTTATTAATTTATAGGAATATAACCATTTCCATTCAACGCAATATTATGAAACGACGATTATTATTAGCGACGATTAGTTTAGAGCAAAGTGGAAAAACACATTACAGTTAACATGCGAAACATTCCATCAAAAAAGTTTTTACAAGAATTTTATATCAGATATTTCATTAAAATATTAAATATAGAATCTAGTGGAATACTCACTGGTCGCAAACAATTTTTATGTGAATATCAACATCACGGCAGTAGTGTTTTATGAAAAATTTATCGTCCACGCTTCGCTCAAACAACAGTTTTATTGGTCCATCTGACTTGCTTTGTTTGTAACATACATAAAAGTAAATGCTACATATTTACATTTCTTCAGAGCAGTGTTGGCTTCAGCGTGCGACTCTCATCCCTGAGGTCGTAGGTTCGATCCCCGGCTGTGCACCAATGGACTTTCTTTCTATGTGCGCATTTAACATTCGCTCGAACGGTGAAGGAAAACATCGTAAGCAAACCGGCTTGCCTTAGACCCAAAAAGTCGATGGCGCTTGTCAGGCACAGGACTCTGATCACCTACTTGCCTATTAGATTGACAAATGATCATGAAACAAATCCAGAATTCTAAGGCCCAGACCTGAAAAGGTTGTAGCGCCACAGATTTATTTTTATTCATTTAGTGTTGCACATTTATTACCAGAAGTCTCCAGTGCGTTGTCGGCAGCAGAATTCGCAAATTCGGCTACCAGTATTCGATGAAACCATTAACCCGAAGATAACCTTCTTCTTTATATGTATGTTAAGTATATATTTTCCTAATAACTCGCTATTACGAGGTTTTTAAAGCTAAGGTTCTTTTTATTATCTTCGCAGTAAACTTCAAAATGAGATGTATGTAAAATGGGGCTGCGAAAGTAATGGGTTCGTTTTATTACAAATTCATATGGATTTTTATTTGATCCAATTTCAAAGAAATATGGCCGCTATATCCGTGTCAAATTATTCTAAAAAAATACATTATATACAAGCACAGCACATAAAAAGGTCAAATATATGAAAATTCTATACATTATTGAAATTCACAATATGTTCTAGTAATGTACTAAAAATAGTAAACATATTTAAAAAGTAAAATAAATGTACTCAAATTAAGAAGTGATTAAAAAGTGTTGAAGCCAGGTTCAGGTTCACAGAGTAAGATAAATGTTAAAACAGTATTGTTTGGAGAAATTTTCAATCCATTAACGTTTTGTTTTCCGCAGTAGCCTTGTCGCGTATTATAATTCCGCGAATAAAAATATTAAATACTTTAATAATTTAAAAATAATTATTGATGTATCAGCAGGTTTAATACGCTTGAAAAGGATCACTCAATGAAATAAAAATTGTCATAATTGCTTAACAAACATATGTTACCGAAGCGACCGCTTTTAAGCGCACCTATTAAATAGATATAAACGCTGGTTATTAAGCTCTAGGCATCGTTTTAATGAAGATGGAGCGGTTTAGTTCATTCTATGTTCACTCAAATATTGACTTGAGCTAAATTTATATCCATGCTACACCGGGCGCCTTTCCAGTAATTGTCATTGATCTGACATAGATATGGGTAGTTCAATTGTTTTAACTTTGATGTCTACGACTTTCGTTGTATCTAATATTGTTCGAAAACGTTTAACATTAACCTTGTTCGAGTTCTAATTTTAAATCCATTTAAGAATATACATGTTATCTCATAACGTAATTCGAATTTTGAATAACATTACAGATAAAAGAAATGTCATTATAAATCATTGATCTATTTAAAAATATTTTGTTCGCTTCTAGACCTGCAAATTAGGACCTGCCTGACGTTTTTACTATTATTATTCTACTCCTAAAATGATCTTCGAGCAGATCGTCGACTTTGATTATTATTTCATTATTGTTACAGATAAAAAGAGAAATAATTAAAAATGTTATATTTTTGGCTAAACTCTGGATGGTCACGAAACGTTTTACTGTTGGGTACAAAAAAAAGGTTACGGCGCGTTACATGGTGAGGGAGGGGGGGGTCAAGAATCTCCAAAAATTGCGTGACGTTATACTTGAACGCTCCCATACTAATACCGAGGATTGGGAAATAAATAAAAAAAGCAAAAAGTTGTACTTTACACTGCTTATGTATGTTTACATATATTTGATATTATATATTTGATACAGGATATTGTATTTTCCCATGCACCTTTTACCGTTCACCACAAGTTCCTCCTAGATTAAAAAAAACTTCCCGTTTCAATAAATTCCAATTTAATTGCTCAACAATATAATTTTACATAATTTTTCCCTTTGAATGGCGCTGCAATCCGACCTCGTACAAAGAGTTCTTTTATGTTTCAAGTGCGGACCCGAATTTTATTGTTCTAATTTTTTCGGGTCACATCTCACAGAGATTTTAATATTTTTTTGTTGATTTGATCTTGTTGCATATTTATGATTTCTATAAGTAATTTAATACGCGCAAAGGTTGGTAGTAACACTGGTAGTAACCAGTGTTGTTTATGGCATAATAATAGACATAATTGTGTCGTTACTTAAGTTAAAAAGAAATTGTTGATAATCTTTCACAAACTTCTTTCTTTATCACATGATCAATGTAATCACTTATAATAATTATTATTCTTTAATCTAATAATAAAGCAAGCCAAGTGCACCCCAAGCGTTAAGTAAGCATAGTATAACTCAAAAAGGTAGGCTAAAGAGGGAGCAGCCTTTAACTTTTAAGTTCACAAAATAAAAAACATTAAGTAGTCGATATATTTTGACAATTTTAAAAAATGTTTGACAAGTAATCTCTCGTAAATTTATTGAAAAAACCAATTGCATTGTAAAATGTTAATGATACCAGTGATTTATTTCTGTAATACCCATCCGTTAATCGAAAAAGGCGAGGTGTTCGATTGACACAAATCGAGTAAGCACCTCATACGTGACAGAAACGATATTTCACGTCAAAAACTATCGACGCATCCGCACGCAAAATGTTATAAAATAAATCGCACATTTTATATTCAAACTATCCACATTCATTGATTTATTCGATGCACGATCATCGTAAAATCAAAATTTATGATTGAAGCGATTGTATGCGTCATTTTACAATAGAACTAACAAGATGATAAAATTCTATATGTTGTCTTTTCACTTTACTTCAAAGAGTTTTTTTTACTTGGGTAAATGCATTGCGCATACCCTACCACGGCGCGACTGCTTAGTGCGGAAGTTATGTGGGACTTACGATTGTGCATACCCACTAAAACCTCAAGGCGCTACCAACAATCGCCTTCGGTGGGATGCGGTAACAGCAGAGCCTTATCCGCTTCGCGACATGCGATGCGGCGGTTGCGTCCGCCTCTCATTGTTGGTTCGTGACCATACTTGCCACAGCCAGTATCCTTGACAGACCGGGCCATACGCTTTTAGGAATAGCTATGGGAGATCGGGTCCAGTACTTGCAGGGATGGATCACTTTCCCTTGTTTTATAGATGTCTTATAACATAGTTCAATGTGAATATTTTTCACGTTTAAGAATATGGCATCTTGAAGGAAACTACCAATTCAGACTTGATGTTAAAAATATTTTAATAATGATTGCAATAATGTCCTTTATATTTCACTGTTATCTAAAGATAGTTGAGAGTGGAGATCTAATGTTTTACGGTTAAAACTTGTAACAAGTTTTGCGAAAAGGTATCTTTGCGGTGTCTTATGCAATGGGAGTCGTATAAATAAATAAGTAAACATACGACGTAGGGCGTAGAGAAATAACCTTATTACACACGTTCAATCTTAGTCACGTTTAATATTCATAAACTTTGCATTGAGGAGATCCAAGATATAACTTAATATTTGTATGAAATATATTTCTAAGTTTACCACAACCACAAAAAAAAGTGTGTGTGTGTCAGCTACGACGCACGATTGGAGTTTACTCCTTACGAACGATAAAATGGCGATAATGTTCTGTGGCTGTCGACCATATTTTCATACTAAAGGTGGTAAGAATATATGTTTTTATAATATAAATGTTTGTAGTAGTAATAAAACGTACCTACATCATCTATGCCCAAATAGGATTTTCTTTATTGGGACCAGCTAGTGACAATACCTTTGTTCACGCGTAAGAGTTTGAATATTATCGTCAAAAGTTCCTATCTCGGTAGTGAATGATTCACCAAAAGCCAAAGCTTGGAAGGTAAAAATTCAAAATACATTTAATATAAATTATATTAAATTAAATCTTCTCTTGTTACAGATAGACACGAAAATTCCTCGACAATGGAGCCCCGTTGGGACAACATCACGGAGCGAGCGAACCGCGCACCGCCCATCTTAAGCGACTCATATGTGTACAGTTGAAACAGCGATGGTGAAATAGTGTAGTGTACAATGAGCTTATAAGTGTATAACGAGTGACGTGATGCCTTACTACGGCTATCGGGAGGGGTCGGACTCTAGTGGGGGTTGTTCGGAATCGGACGGGGGTGAATCGGACTCGGAGGGGGGGGATAAGTACCGAGAGTACGGTGGGCCAGGGGCTACCCTTTCCTGGGTTTACCCCGGTTGCACTTCGGTATCTGACGCAGGACACCAGGCCGAGGAGTTGGTGTCTCAAGCTGATTACCAATCCATATCCTTTTTAATATAAACGAGAGTTATGACTCGACTTAAGTGTTTGACGCTTTTTGCACTTTGACGCAACAATTTGTATTAAACATATTAATATTTACGTTTGTAAATGTTTATTGTTCAGCACGGTAAATCAAACCTTGAAGGCATATCCTGAAAAAATAATAACTTTAATAGCGAAATTGAATTTTATTTGCTTATAACTGGCTATGTCTATTAATAAACATAGACATAATGTTTATGTCATTAAACATTTTGTCCCATTCGGTGTCGAGACCCTTGGTCCGTGGGGTCCTAGCGCTTTAAGGCTTTTTAAAGACATATCAAAAAGATTAGTTGACATCACAGGAGACCGAAGATCTGGCAGCTACCTCGGACAAAGAATTAGTCTAGCTATTCAAAGGGGGAACGCTGCCAGTATCTTCAGAACCTTGCCTAAAGGGACTCCTTTTAATAATATATTTTAGTTTATGTTAAGGTTAGTTATTTTTTTTTTTCAATGTCTATTATTTTAGTTATTATATGTTTACTTGTATAGCAAGTGCCAGTATGAAACATTTTCTGAATAATCAGTAAAAAGTAAAACTCGTAGGAATCTTTTGCCTTATATATTGTTCCGCGCCTTATTAATTGTTTACCCCCAACTCTCGAAATAACACCTAACAAGCAAGGGCTAACCCTTAAAAGGACAACTTGAGGTTCCATATAAAACGATTTTTTCTTCTCTTAGTTTATTTAATCTGTGTTTTTGTTTTGTTTGTATTTTTTCTCTTAACACTGTAGTTTCTAAGTAACGAAATTAGTTATGTGGTATGGCCCTTCGTGTACTAAGATCAATAAAAACCTATTAGTGATTTTTTGGTTTCTAAGTTTATTATCTTTTATATATATAATTCTTCTGTGAGTGTGTATGTCACTGAACTTCTCTCAAACGACTTAACCGATTTTGATGAAATTTTTTGTGTGTGTTCAAGGGGATCTGGGAATGGTTTAGATTCACAAATCAGCCCGGCAGATGGCACTGCAGTCGGTACTTTCATACTTTGCTTAATATCCTAATCGCTTTAAATATCATGCAGGACAACGTCTGTGGGGTCCACTAGTAAGTTATAATAATAAAACAACTTAACCATAGTCTATACCAAATATTTACCTAGTGTTTAAAAAAAGTTTTGAAATAAATCTTGCCAGAAGTTATTACCGACTTAGAAATTGGTCTGCCACAGTGAGGTTACGATATCAAAACACTCCCACTTTGTGTATTTGTCAAACATACCTTTACATTAGTAACAATTTTCATTTGAAAAATTCAAACGAAAACAAATGAAAATTGGCAGACCTTTCACATGGTAATCATTCAGCATCAAAGGGTGCGGCTGTCATTTAGACTGACGTTAATCGTATGCAAAGCATTGAATTGCTCATTTGAATCAGTTATCGGAGCTCGTGACGTACGGTGTGGCTTCTGAAGATTAATTATTCCTGGCGTGGAATTTGTAAAATCCCTTCTATTTCTTCAAATAAATCAACGAACGTACGTGACTGAGGCGAGTTTGGTTTTATATTCCAACGGTTCGAACAATACATATTTGGCGTCAAATCTAATATATAAAATTCTCGTGTCACAATGTGCGTTCCCATACTCCTCCGAAATTTTTTATACGTCATATTCAGTAAGTCTGAAAATCTTTTAAACCCCTAAGTGATAAAGGGTGTTCACCCCAAAAAAATATTTTTATTTTTTTAGACAAAATATTTTGTTTTTATTTATTATTATATATGATATTAAATACAAAAATACAAACAACCCTTAATTTTCACCCCTCTACGATCAATCCCTATTTTTTTATTATTGTAGAAAGTTATTTTTATTTAACTAAAAAAAATGTTTCCTAGAAATAATATACATCGCAAAACAAACGTTTGCCGGGTCAGCTAGTATATCTATATATTAAGCAAAGACTTAATAATAGTATAAAGAAATTTATTTTGGCATGTCACTCCGTAGGTAGCATGCTTGTAACCACTGAAGTCCTACATTTCATTCTCAGTGTAATATTTTTTTTATTAATAATATAAACTATAAGAAATTCAATGTATCCGTCCTAGGACCCACGGTGCTCTTGCAGGACTTCATGCAAAGTGTTTTTTGGAAAGTACTTGTTCTTGAGAACCCAACATTACTAATATGTGTCTATAATACAAGAAATACATTTATTTGTTTACATAAATTGTGGAAAAGGCGACCTTGCAATAAGAAAAAGTTATAGTATAGCCACAGATTACACGAAAATATAAAGCAAATTACACAATATTAAAGGAACAGAATACATTAGCCTTGATACTCAATATTAACCTTAATACACGATAAAAGCGTTCAAAACATCTGTATCCTTGTTAATAAGAATACAGCGATGACTAAATAAGCCAGACAAATATGAATCATTTATAACAACGCGTACTTCAGTTCAAACAAAAACCTAACAAAATGCGTTGAGAAGTTATAGATAGTACGTATAGATGCGGCTAACTATCGTATAAATTATGAAAAACGTATCTGGCTTGTTTCATCGTAACAACATGTGTACAATAAAGCGTGGTGTAAGGAACAAAAGTGAGCGGGATCTGAAGTAGACTGTTACAGTACGCTATATAAAGAAAATATGAATCATTTTAATAATGAGTTTAGTATGAAAATACATTAAAAAATGTATATCAGACTAAAATCTATATAGATTGGATGGAACAGTTTGTTTTTTAATTTGAATTATTGTTAACCTAGTTTAAATAACATTTAGTTATAGTAAATTCAAATCAAATAAAGAGAAGCCCGGTAGACTGAGGCTGCGTCGGTAGGATGGAGTTGTTAAGGACCTCGAAACAATTGGTGTTTGAAGCTGGACGCAAGAAGCACGAAAAAGATTGCGATGGCGAAATATACTTGCGGGGGCTAAGGTCCATAAGGGGCTGCAGAGCCATTGATGACGATATAGTGAATAATTTAAAATAAATCATAATGAAACCAGTTCGATAACATATAAACAAAATAATATTATTTTCGTGCTTCACCTACTGTCTGGTAAAACTGTGTGTGAAAAAGTGAAAACTTCTTTAACATCGTTTTGATTTGAAAGTCGATGAAACGAAAAAGCGAGATTAAAAAGAGACAGACACATAAATTCAAAACATTTAGCGTGGGAGAAAATGAGATAGGAAGGATTATACAGCGTAATTTAGATGGTGAAAAAAATCTAATTTACATATTATTAATAATAAAAACGTTTTTAATAATTGTAGTTTTTATCGAAATTAATAATTGATATTAAACTTAAAAATTAAAATTTCATTCGTCTCATTATCTTAAAACCAAAATTTTTGAAGGTTTTACTTCTACCACGTGTAAAATGCACACATTTTTTTTTAATCGATAAACTTCCTTCAGGGTTTTATGATATTAAGAGATTTAAATTTAATAAAATGCCGTAACCCTCTCACGTAAACGAGAACGATACAACTAGTTACATTATAAAATGTTGTTTAATAAGTTATCTTAGCCGCTTTTCTATTTTACCTATACGGATTTATTTAAAATTTAATTCAGGCACATCAATCGCCGTATTTTTGATCGGCGTTTAAAATTAATTTCTCAAAGCATTTTCGTGGTAAGTGAATTTCGTAGCACGTTATAGAAATATTTGTTCAAGTATTACGTAAACACTATAGGGGTGACGGGGACGTACTTTTTTACACATATTACCCACACATTGTCTATGCTTGAAAACGAAATGCATTTTCGAGGATTCCTACAAAAAATGAATACGTTTTTGTGCTATTATTCAACTTATCAAGGGGGGTGGATAAATTGCAGTAAATCTGCTTACGTAATACTTGAACGGCCCCAGTCACCTCAAAAATAAATATCTAATTAAAACCAAATTATCGATTACAATGATATACTTGGGCCCAGCGATTACAACCAGCAACCCATAGCACCTTAGGCCTCTGCCTCACCGGGACGCCATGGCCACGTCGCCAGACTGAGTCGCCACATCGCGTCGCCAATGCATTCAGTTCTGTCTCGACTCAAAAATCAAAATCAAAAATAAATTTTAATTAAATGATCAATAAAATAATTATTATTATTATTTTATTCAATAATTTTAAAATCATTATATAAAATATTAATAATTAGGAGAGCAGGAGCCTTACTAACAATTTCTTTCAGGATACCTAATTAAAAAACATAATTGAGAGACTATGAAAAAGCAAAAAAAGTGCTATAGTGTGCTAATTCGCCAGGTAGCCAGCGTCGCCAGTCGCTGCATACGGAGTGGTCAACTCTGGCTACGCTGGCTACTTGATGTCGCCAGTCGGTAGCCAAGTGAGTTAGCATACATCTTAATATGAACTACTTGGCGAAGTCGCTGACGACGTGGACATGGCGTCCCGGTGAGGCAGAGGCCTTACTGTAACTTCAGGACTCTATAGAACACTTAGTTTTATATAAAGTATATCATAAATATGGAGAGTTAAAAATCTTCTTTGTGGTTTGAAAAGGTATCACATTGTTAAACTCCTTCTTCGGCTTTATTGTAGTTTATTAATAACATGTACTTTAATTTTTCGCGTGAATGCCTTTGTTGAGAAAGGTTGTTTAAAAACCCTCTCAAAATTTACCTGAATACCCTTGGCTGAACTATTGAACTTTACTGTACCGTTACTATAATAATAAAATATACGACGTTATTTTATTAAACTTATACAATTTATATATGTTCCAATATATACGAGTACTTAAATATGGAGGTGTCTTGATGCCTATTTCACAGTTTAGTGGCAACTATTAATATTTCAACACATTATTAGCAGTACATTGGTTCACAGCTGTGTACTAAAGGAGTGCTGTGAAGAAAGACATGGTGAAAAACCGCAATGTGTTAGTCCTAAAAATAAAATGTCATAGAAGGCACTTTATGTACTTACCTAAATTAGAAAATATATGAAATCTGTAAGTAATGG